CAGGCCTGAAATCACCTGGAGAGGGGACAGTGTAGCGGCGCCCCTGAGGCGCGTGCCAGGGCCCAGGACCCATGAAAGACGACAACGCGCGTGCAAAAAGCAAGTTGGGTTATGGGGATATTTATACAGCGTCTAGTTGGTCAGCCATTGAAAGTTGCGACGAGTCTCTCGCTGTAGATGAGCAAATTAGCCAGTGCAGTACAACCGCTAGCCTGGCGTCTTAACGTGCACCACGCAATAGTGATACAAAATGCAAGAATTTCACAATTCGATCCGTTCTAGACGCTCCGTTCTAGTCGTAAATTAAACCCGTAACAATATTTTAAACAAACCAAAATTATAACAAGCACACCTAACTGGAATGATATTCCCAACATGCTTTCATAATATTTTTTTTTCTTCCGTGTACATTGAGTTTTGTAAATGCCCTCCCTAGCGTCATCGATGTGCAATCAAGAGCATTTTGAAATACGCTAATTAATGTATAAATAATTAAATTCCTCAACCTCTCAAAAATCAAGTTTTGTTTGCGGCTCTTGAGCACTGTCACCTTGACCACAGTGATTCTGCGGCTGGAGGTGGAGCTGGAAAATCTAAAAAAGTCGAACAAAACGTGAGTGGTCGACGTTGCCAGCACGTCTTGTATGACGTTTACGACATTTAAGTGTGAACGCGACGTCGCTGAAACGTCACTGACGGGGTAATAATGTAATGTCATCCTGGACTTTATTTTAACTTTGAAGAAATGTGAGTGTTCGACGTTGCTAAAACATCTTGTCTTGACGTCGTAGTGACCATGACGAAGTTAAAGTTGAAACGAGACGTCGCCAGCACGTCACAGACAGGACGATAAAGGAATGTCATTTATGAACTTCAGTTCAACGTCAAAGAAACGTGAGCGTTGGACGTTGTGAGAACGTCGTGCATCGACGTAGTGGGAACGTCGACGACGTTCGAGTTGAAATACAACGTCGTCACAACGTCACTGATTGGACTCTAATGGAACGTTATATAAGGACGTCACCTCAACATCGAAAAAACGTGATCGAAGTCGTGCGGGACGTCACGGACGTCCGGGACTTCTTCTCGACGTTTTCACGACGTTTTGTGCTGCCTGGGTATGTTTTCAATAAATTTCTTCGAAATACAGGGTGTCACAAAAAATGTACAGGGCTTTTTTTCATCGCAAAAATAAACTAGGCACCGCCGAACGCGCATTCTCCGCCCAAAGGTAGCGCGAAAGGTCACAAAACAAGATGCCAAAGTTTCAGCTCGATCTGATGCCTTATTCTAAAGTTATAAGTGATTTTATGAAAAATTAAATGGGAAAACGCAGCCCATTTTTGCCCGATTTCAGTTTCCAGTGCCATAGAGCCCGACATGTTCGAAAACTCTGTCGGCCGCCATTTTCCCATTGAAATGTTCAAAAAATGACTTTTAACTTTTGAATAAGGTATTGGATCGGGCTGGAAACTTTGGTATCTGGTTGTGACCTCTAGCGCTACCTTTGGGCGGAGAATGAGCATTCGGCAATGCCTGGTTTATTTTTGCAATAAAAAAAAAAAAAAAAACCTTGTCAATTGCTTTTTTGTGACACCCTGTAGATCAGATACACATCTGGCATAAAAACTTGCTAGGGCTAAAACTACTGCGTTTCCGCACACGAGGAAACTAAGGACCATATACTGCGTTCAAAACAGATTTGGCTACTGCTGGCTCATGCACGTTCGATAAAATATACATTTCGCAAAATTATAGAAAGAGGAAAGAGCTTGGATTGTAGCTAAGCGCTCAGGGCTTCATATTTTTAATATATTACGCAACGCAAGATGCGGTGTGTGTGGAGCGCAGAGAAGTGTGTATATAAGTGTTTTTAAAATTTTTTTTTAAGTTTACTTTTCTGTTTTTTTGTTTGTTTTTTTAATTTTGTAACAACGAAGGGCAGGCTGCCAGAAGAGTGATATGTGGCGCAACTGCCCGCCTTGGGTGTACGAAAGGTTAGAACAAGAAAAAATCACTTCTTTATTTTTAGTTTTTGTCCGTGCTTTGCTTGGGAAATATTGCGGCACAACGGTGCCACAATATTTCGTGCCTTAATATTTTTTTGCAGTTATGTGCGCGTTTCTTTTTCCCTAGCCGACAGTAATCGGAAAACATGGCACGAAATTAAACATGTGTATGTGCGAAGGGGTGTGTCGAATGCGGTCGGTAGCGAGCTCGCTGACAAACACTAGGGAAACCGCATTCAAGACTTACCAAGTGACCGACCCCAAAAGTGCTTCATCCTTGCCTGTGTATTCATTCAGCAACAATGCCTCTACTACGGTTTCACTTTGGCGATTCTTTCTGTGATACATACGTATTTTCGTGCTCTTTTGTTTCGGGACGGGAAAATGAAAACCAAAACAGAAAGCTTTCTTTCCTCGAAAGTACTCTGTAATAACCTTTACTATACCTAAGGGGGCTTTTATACGCCCTTAAGCCTATTTTTGAATATCAGCTGCATTAGTGAAGCATACCTTAAAATAGAATCATATCACCGCCAAAGAACTAGAAATCAATGTTAATTTCATAAATGAAAACCTTCAATTTCTATAAGTGTGACCCTCATCCGCTTAGGGAAGCTAGTCACTAGACCTCTTTTTTATAACCACCGTTAGCAGGATGTTTCCAATTACGTTTAGAATAATTGTATTCCCTATTTACAGTAATAGTTTTTGCCTAGAAGCAAGAACAGCGCGATTGGTATCGAAGCCTACGATTCGCCATACTCTACTATCGTATACGATATTGGTAGAAATTATTAGCGAATTTACCTTCGACGCACTATAATGCATGAAATGCATTATAGAGAATTGGCTAGGGAACTGGTATATATTCCCCTCTAAATTTAGCGGAAAAAGTGAATGGTTGTATAGGTCACGTAAGGTCCGATTCTCCCACTAAATAAAGTGGGAAAATTCGATTGGTGTCTAGATCACAAAACGCGGATTTTCCTGCTAAATTTATCTTGTAACTAAGTGGGTGTTAGGTCACGTTACGTGAATTTCTCTCTCAATTTAGCAGGGAAACTAAATTGGTGTTTTGGAAACAAGACGTGAATTTTCCCGCTAAACTTAGCGCAGACGCTGAGTTGACATATAGGTCACGTGCAGCTTTCCCAACGTTTGTAGGTCACGTCACGTCAGGTGACGTCAAATGAAACCATTTTCCCCGCTGAATTCAGCGGAAAATTCACGGACGGACGGACGGACGGACAAAATTTGGGTTTTGGTAGTAGAGTTAAAGACTTTCATGTATTTAAAAAAATGTTTTGTTTCTGTGTACCTGTGTCTTTTTTGTGTGTGTTTTAGATGTAAATTGATCATTTAGTCCCATATTTATCTCAAGGGTTGACAGCGCTATGGAAGTCCTAATTTACTCTCCGCCACTTACAAATCGGTTTCGATGTGTAGGTGACTTCCTATTAATCTGCAAACGACCCACAGAAGACAATATAGTTCCTAATGATTGAGCATTTTCCTAAGCTGTGGTGTTTAATTTTACTTCATTTTTGAAGTGATTAAAACAGGCATTATGCATTTTTCTGACTTTCGATATCTTCCCAACCCAATTAACCTCTGCCGGTCCTTTTCACCCTCTTCAAAAAAAGCTATCCTACATTGCAGATTCTGAGATTCTAAAGTCGTTAAAAGGAGCGGAGCTACATCTTGCCTATCACGGACACTACATAAGTCATGTTTTCATGCCATCAAAGCTAGTTTGTAAGCAAAAATTGATAAGACTAAAATCATCTAGTTATCCGTCGTAGGTTTTAGCAGAAGTGGTGGTACCCTCAAAGAAAGGGGCCGAAAAAGCCAGTCAAGAGGGAAAAATAAAATGGCGGTGGTCATGCCCGCACCTTCATAAGATTCCTCTTAATCTCAAACAGGTGGCCAATCGGTATGGTGTCCCCTTAGTGCTCTCTACCCCCCCCCCCCCCCCTTCAAAAAAAAAAGTAGGCATTTTTTTTTTAAGGTCTGAATTAAAGCAGAAAATGTTGCAAAACACACTTGCTTAAAGAAACATGTATCTTTCATTGTTCATTTGAGGTTATATATAACACCTACCTCTCCTGAGGTAGACCTTACTTCGGTCAAACTGAACGGTGTTTGAATGATCGGCTTAATGAACATAATCTCTGTCTAGAGTCTACAGTGAGGATCACCTACCATTGCATTGCGCAACCTTCTCGTGCGTAGCTTACGCAAATCAAACTACTCTATTATGTCAATAAAGAGACATACCCACAAGGTAAGTATTGGAAACGTTTAACATCTCCGGTTTGGGAGACCGCTGTGTCAGCCAGCCCTCGGCGTCACTAACTGGCAAGTAAATGGCTTCTTTTGAAGAGCACCGAATGTGTTCAAAGTCGTTGCGGCGCCCCTCGTCCCGGTGATTTTGAATCCCGGGCCATCCGGGTGAATGCGTTTCCTGTCCTTGCCGCGCCTCTTGTGGCAGTGTTCTTTTCCTCGAACCTGCTGCACGTTCCCGCTTCTTCCTTCGTTTCAACGGACATTTGAGTTGTGAGCTAGCGCGTGTCTCTCCTCTGTGTTGCGTTCCTGTCCCGGTCCTCGTGTTTTTGTGCGTCAGTTTTTCATCGTGATCATTTAGTTCATCGTTCGTATCTATTAACGCCTTGAGCATGCAACGTATTCGAGGCTGTTTTAGCAATGACGCCTCCCGTTTGTTTTTGGTGTGAAATGAGCACCGGTGATGTATCGCTATAGTCAGTGCCAGCTTAATTAAACGCAAGGGGTGGCTCATTACGTTCTCAATATTTTGTTCGTGATTCGTTCTGCGACCTTTCCATCAGCAGATGCTCGCAGTGGCTGCACGGTCATAATAGGATTTCTGGAACTCACGACTCCCTCCTTTTCTTAAGCAGGGACTATAGAGCTGTGGTTGTATAGAAGACACGCTGAGTGCAAGACGCTCTTTTTTTTTTTTTCTCCACACAGCCGGGGAAGGCAGCAGCGTGCTCCGGGAGGCCCAGATTCCCATCTGGGAGGAGGCCGAGTGCCGGAAGGCGTACGAGAGACACCTGCCCATCGAGAAGACTCAGCTGTGCGCGGGAGACGCCAACGGCAAGAAGGACTCCTGCCAGGTACGCCCGGCGTCACCAGTCGCCCTTCTCGCCAACTCATACGCCCCTACATTGAAAGCACCAAATAGGCACCGCTTCAGAGTATAACGGCACTTCAGTCGGCTTGTTGCCTCAAATCGTTGATGCACTTACCGGCATCTTATCCGAAACCGCACGAAGCAGTTATCCGTTCATGAGAAATATTAAATTAGACCGCGATACGATATCATATGTGCTTTCTAACTTCGCATCTATAGCTCAGAACATCCCATTTTCGAATCACAACTATCGCCATAGAACCGTTGAATGTGTTGAAAAGCGTGCTGCGGCGTCTGCTGCGCCGAATAGAATGCCAAGAACTATCTACACAAAGCCGGTTGTAGTAGACGTCGGAGTCGACGGAGGAATCGGTGGCCATTGGGAAAAAGCAGGCCAGCAACTGACCTGCTATCCCTTTTTTTTTATTTCTTCCTATCGTCAGTTTCACGTGGTAGATGCTACAGGGGCCAGGAGGAGCTTGAACGACATTGCACGCACAATTTTGAGACTTTTTACAAAAGTTTTATTAAGCCCACCCCGCAATAGGCAACTAAATGGCTTCGGCTTCGAAGCAATTGGGGAAGTGTCGGCTTTCTAAGCGTAGCTTGCTTCGTAGCTCTAGCCCTAAGAATGTCCCGAACCCGAGTGTAATCACCGGCTCAATCGTTGCGCAACTGCAGTCTTTATGTAGGTTAAACGTCCTTGTGTAGATAAGCGTCATGCTGAATATGCCGTATTTCGTGTAATCTTGTGCGCCCCCGAAGTTTCTAAAACGCAAGAGCCCCCAATTTTCCAAGTAATTATTTTTGGTTACGGCCGCTGATGGAGTCCTATGCACGCCTGCAAGCCGTGGTCGCATTAATTAGTTTCTCCACTAATTCTTAGAGGTACACACTGAACCTTCTTATGGAGTGCCGGACATCCTATTATACGTATGTAAATAAAAGATATCGCACGGAAATATTGAAACTTTATTCGAGGTATGTACAATAGGTTCAAAGCTATTCGAATTCTCGGAAATATAATGGTTAGTGACTTCAGTATAGCGGTCGAAAATTCAAGACATTACAGTTGTAGTTGTTCAGGCTCTGTACAGAAAATACATGTCGGATCGAGTAACTGAAATATTATATTTTTAGGTTCCATCGCGTATTACAGATCCTATTAGTGCTTTCTAGAGATATTCCGGCAAATATAAAGAAAGGGTCAGCAGTTCCGGAACTCAAATTTATTTTCAATTTACTGCAGCCTTCGCGGGTCCATGAGAAGAAAAAAAATTTCTATGGCGTGCTTCTAATCAATATTTTTTGACAAAATGCGCCGCAAGACAGGTACTGGAGGTGGAAGACAACAGGAAGTGCTAATTTCAACGAATTACTCTTTCCTTGTCTTGCGGCGCATTTTGTCAAAGGAGATCATGTACCAACTGGCCCATCTGACAGTATTTATTCAAATCAATAGTTTTAGCATTTTGCTGAGAAGAGAAGAGAGGAACAAGGTGTGGTTTCCCCAGTCGTGAAATGTATCGGCCTCTTTCAGCGGTTTGAATGGAACCAGCGAAGCCTTCCAGTGGCTTTCTGAGGGTGAGTGTTTGGGGTAGAGCACTGCACGGGCCGGAATTTCTAGGCCCGGCCCGACCCGGCCCGGTAGAGACACGGCCCGGGCCCGGCCCGAGCCCGACAGAATTTTAAATTTCTAGGCCCGGCCCGACCCGGCCCGAAAGAGACACGACCCGGGCCCAGCCCGAGCCCGACAGAATTGTTAATTTCAAGGCCCCGCCCGACCCGGCCCGATGGCTGTAGCCCGAAACAACCCATTTCCGTTTGAACCCGTCCTGTTTCGACCCGCTCCCGAAACGAGCTCCCCATTTGAACCCGTCCTGTTTCGACCCATTCTTTAAACACCCTTCCCATATGAACCCGTCCCGTTTCGACCAGTTCCCTAAACGCCCTTCTCGTTTGAATTTGTCCTGTTTCGATTTATTCCCTAAACGCCCTTCTTATTTGAACCAGTTTCCGAAACACCCTTTGCGTTTGAACGTGTCCCGTTTCAACCTACTTTTATAAGGCCCTGCACATCGCAACCTCTTCGCAAAAAGTCTCCATCGTTCTAAGCCTGGTCTGCGCACCTTTTCTGTTTAAGAATATGTCCTGAAGTAGCTTTGCATGTCAACGCGTTCTTAAAATATACAACCCTTTCAGGCAAACTTAAGTTTAATATATTCCTAGTTAATCCCTTAAAACATTTGTTTCAAGACGGTTCCCAAAACGTGCAAGCGCGGAACGGACTTTGTACTCTGCGCGACACTGATACCGCGAACAGGACGTTGGCTCTTTTTTCGAATTTTACTTCGGAATGGTTTTAGTAGGCACCAAAGTATACCGCTTAGGTCTGTGGCCCAGATGAGCACTTCTAAAGACACTAATATTTTTGAAAACAGCGTTTTGATTCTATGAGATAAGCATAAAAACACGATCGCTTGTTCGCGCTAATATAGTGTCGCGCTCTGTGCAATAAGGGAGTCTTAGAATAACATACTCAAGCACTTTGGGCAAGCTAAAATTAGCATCGCCAAAGGTTTTACATCGCAACGCTATTTTTACGGTACCCAAAGCGCTTGCGTACGTTTTTCTAAATCTTCCTAATAGTGAACTAGATATTTTTGAGAGGGATGAATCAGACAGGCTGACAAGCATATGACTGGGACTTCATTTTGTTTACAACTTATAACGCAACCCTCGCTCACACGGAAAAAGCTTGAAGGCTTTCTAGCTTCAAGATGTCTTTTAGTTATTATTTTTAACGACGCTGTAGTGAATTTGCACTTCGCTTTTTTTGTATTCAATGAACCTAAAAGATTAATGAGCAAACTTCTTGCTATCAACAACAATTTATGATTTACGGCATAAAATTGCCCAGGCACGGCTCGGGCCGGCCCGGGCCGGCGCGGCCCGAGAACTTTTTTGTTCAAGCCCGAGCCCGGCCCGGGCCCGAGAAAATACGTGCTACCCGGCCCGAGCCCGGCCCGCGGGCCGGGCCGGGCTCGGGCTTTCGGGCTGGCCCGGGCCCGTGCAGTGCTCTAGTTTGGGGGAGGCAGGCACGCCTTACCTTACACTCCATGTTACTACCCTCGTGGTCTTCACAAAAGTCTGCGTCGATATTTTTATATATACTTTGTTTTATCGTACCTTGGCAAAGATCGAACGCTGCGGCCTCTCTGGACCAATGAAAGCAAAGGAGGTGAAGCAAGGGACACCCCACACCATAGGTACGGTACGAGAGCAGAACCCAAGCAGTTGCAATGGAGAAGAGGAGAAGGAGGAACGCTTATTACCCCATTAGTGAAGATTGTTGGGCGAGTTGGTACTGGATATTCAAAAGCAGGTAGCGCTCCAGATGATGACAAACTAGGAGACTGGCCAACACATAGCGCTGCTACCCGAACCCTTTTTAGTGGGTTCGCCCACTAAAAAAGTGAGATTGGTGAGATTAGCCTGTCACTCAAACATTGTACAAAAAACTCCCTTCCCGTTTCTTCCGCCCGTGGCTCTGACAGCAATGCGCACAGCTAAGAAGAAAAAGTATAGTCCCATGCCTCCCTCCGACGCGCTGATTGGCCCACTAGGACCGCAGCCTTCTCCGTTTGCTACGTTCCGGTGAAACGGAGTATATTACTTGGTGCATGAAGCTCAGGTATCTTCACCGATATGTTACATTATTAAGGCACGCATTCTGGACCAGTAAAGGCAGTACATCGAAGAATCTTTGCTACACTGACGTTTTCACATTTCTGCTTCTGTCTATTCCCGAATTCAGGGCGACTCCGGAGGTCCGTTGGTGCTTCCTTTCGAGGGCCGCTACTACGTGCTCGGCGTGGTGTCGTCCGGGAAGGACTGCGCCACTCCGGGCTTTCCGGGCATCTACACCAGGGTGACCAGCTACCTGGACTGGCTCAAGGGCATCATCAACTGAAAAGGCCCTTCCACTCAGTGTCCCATTATCGGCTCACTCTGCGTCGTTCGGACATAATGACAGCAAGTGTGAGACCAGCTGAACCAGCGCAGCGAGAGGGCTTGGAATAAAAGCGTCGTGCGGAGAACACAAATATTACAAGTCTAAACGACATTGCGGATGGAGCCGGTGTCCACCCGCGAACTTGTCTTTGCTGTACTCGGTGTCAGACATGTAGCTTTCGTTTTCCTTTATTCGGATAAACCTGGGGTTGGGTTACCTTGCTTCGGTAATCCTGTCTTTTGTCGTCTCCCTCTGAGCGAGCAGTCGGGCCAGAGTAATTTCCACAGCGCCACTTAGCATTCGGGGAAACGAGGAAGCGTAATGATCACTCAAAATGCAGTGTGCTGTCTTTCCGCTTCACACGTATAACAGATCCGGCCCTCAGAACAGCTGGGCCGTAGATGGCGCCCCATGATTGCCATCGTCATGTGCGCCGTTCTCTCCGTCGCCAGTTTGGCTCAGTGTACGCCGACAATTCTCGCTGATAATGGCTAAAATACGCCCATCGGTGAAGTTCAAATTGTGGTCTTGCCTTACGTAAAATACTCGTCAATTTCAAATTTTGTATCCAACTAGTGATTCTGGAGATATTTCGCGGGCACATTTCATGAAAGGGAATAATTTAAAACTTTGATCGTCCTTACAATATTTTTACCAGGGCGAAAAAATTAGGGTTTATCGTTTTGGCCTTATTATGCACCGTGTAAAATAAGCCCGTAAACTATTTTTCTTTTATGGTCACCCACTTCGGGAATCATGCGCCAATCAGGCGTACCATTGATTGAATCAAGTATGAAATAATGAATAGGTCGAATGGCAATAGACTGAATTTGTCCCAACTGGTAAGTGACAATATTCCAACTGTCGTGAATTGGAAAAATGAAAGAATAGGAATGACCTCAAAGCAAGTTTTGATACTGGCCTCGCATAACGAGCGAAGAGGTGGGGAAATCGTAGGAGAGATATACCGGGCGTTTCAGCGAAGACTGACAAAACTTGATAAAAAGTACGGTTCGAGCTCAAATATAACCTTGCTGGAAGAAATTCCCAGCCTCGTCGGACGTCTGGGAACGCAGAAAAATTACTAATTAGCTATATAATTAACACAAATGTACTCATTAACTGGATAATTTCTTGTTTTATGTCCGATGTTGCAGTTTCTATTTTGAAGAGAACAACCGGAAAGGACCTAATCAATTTACAGAATTGAAAAAAAAAAATTGTAACCGCCTTGGAGATATTCATCAACCAATGCTGGCCTGTCTCCACAAGGATTTCAAAATTCGACGTGAACTGTCACGCCTTTGGAATCCATGTCAAGAAAGGTTAAAATCTCTCAAAATTGGTCGATGTTCGTTATTTTGGTCGTTATCCATGTGGCCATCTACATAAGTACGGGTCTATGCTGGACCCTCGATCTCTGTGGGACGTCAGACGAAGTTGATAATGTGTGCTGCCGAGGTCGACAACGGCTTGCTCGTGGAAGCTCTATCTCTTGCCTACGGCACTCACCAAATATTTCGTGCAAGACAAAGAAGAACTTCATACCAGTCATGCAGGAAAATTTGCCATTGGCCCCGAGGGACGTGCACTCGCTGTTCTGCTGTTGCATCTCGGGGAAGCGCGCTCAAGATCGATGCTGAAGAAATCTAAAACGCCGAGCAGTCTTCGACAGAGCTGACAGCAAGTGGGATGACATCGAGACTATTACGCGCTTCGTCAATTACAACATATATATATACATATATATCTTTCTCAGATTGTTAGCACGGTATATCGCGAGATCGAAATACCTCAAAAAATGAAGGACGTGAAGGAAACTTTTTTCTACAAACCCCATGCTGGGGTTTGTAGAACAAAGTTGTCGCTGTCTAGATGAGACGTTATATGACAGTAGGTAATATGTTCGAGAAGCTTCGATGAGACAGAGGTTAGTGAGATAGGACGATGGTTTGAGGGCATTAAGCGATCGTCATTTTTGTGGACCGGAGCAATGTTGCCCATTTTGCAATCAGACGGGAGGCAGCCTTCGGACAGTGACTACTCGAATTTCAAGTGTAATTGGGAAGTAGATATAGCCGAAGTGTTCTTCAGTATTTTGGATGATACGTTATCTGGTCCTGAGGACGATGAGAGTTTTAGCCATCTGATAAGGGCGGCCATACCGGCTGCTAGAACACTAAGGGGGGCATAGGTTGATAGTGGGAAGTTGGTAACTCAGGCATGTCTACAGAACTCACATTTGTAAAGGTGGAAGCGGATAATTTGTTCATTACCTCGGAGCATAGCTGTTCGTCGACTGGGTTTCCGCTCTCATCGATTAATTGAAATAAGCAACTGTTGCATTTTGGTGAAATTAGATTACAAAACGTTTTTGAGTTATTCTCAAAGATGGTTGGCAGGTCCTGGTTGAAATACTTTCTTTTTGGTCAAAAGTAACTTGATGCATTAAGAGTATTGATGATGATGTGAATTCAGCCCATAATAGATTAATATCTTGTATTAGCAACCACTTCCTCGGTAGCATGCCGCGAAAGCTACTGCACACGTCAAAAAGCGTATTGTTTCCTTAACCTCATAAATTTCAACAATTTTACACAATACAATATGGTCACAAATTGTTCCGGTAATATTTTGGATCTAGTTTTATGTAACATCCCGTTTTCGGAAGCGACTCGTGTAGACGATCCGCTGGTCACTGTTGACGCTTATCAACCTCGACTTACAGTCTCGTTTCGCCTGTTTTTAAGAGCAAGGGTCTCGTCCGGTTCACTATTGTACGCATAGAGCGTTGGCGAATACTTTGGTTTCTACAAATATTTTGGTGAATATGATTGGGTTGATACCTTACAATACTCTGATGTAGATTCCATGGTGCATAGTTTCACAGCGATCATAAATGATGCCATGAAGTTGTTTGTTCCTCAGTGCCCCAAACGTATCGAAAAGTAGCCTAAGTGGTTTCCCAAATATTTTCAATATTACTTAAGAATAACATTACATTATCACAAATTACTAAAAAAAAAAATAAATGCGGCCTAGGTTTTTGGTACAAATCTAGAGCATATGTCGAGATCTAACAAAAAAGCTGCTGGCTAGCGACCAGTATCAATACCGCAGGCAGTTGGAGCGTAACCTAAACAAACGACCCGAAAAGGTCTAGCGCTATGTGCAACATCATACAACAAAAGAGTGTAACTCTAAAGCGTACATATTTTATTCATCTTTATAAGTTCGTAAAAAAAGAAGCTCTGAAAGCTACATTTATGCGGCTTGTGCAGGTGAGTTATGCGGCCTGAGGGACATAGTACAGGGGATAATCGGAACGATCAGTTCGCTAGTTAAGTAAAGCTTGTTAATTATATTTTTAATTAGTGCACATAGAGAGATGGTCCTATTTGAAACTTTTTAAGTGTTATAAAAAAAAAAAAAAAAAAACTCAACCGAATTTTTTATAGAAATATATAAGGCAGGGACAGCATTTTACGGCCTTCTGAAAAACGCTCAATTTGAATGCGTTGTTTCTAGGTTTCGGTTTCTTATCGGAGCGCATTCCTGCGCCTGCGGTCCTGGTCCTCTGTGGCCGAGACCCGCAACACACGGGCGCCCTACTTCCCTCCATCCTACCAGGAAGGCGAAGTGGTGGCCTCGCGCAGTGACCACTGGGGAGCACGACAGCGGGCGTAAAGATGCGCTCCCTTAAGAAACCGACACCTTGAAACAAGGCATCCAAACTCAGCGTTTTTCTTTAGAACGCCGTAAAAGGTTGCCCCTGCTTTATATTGTTTTAAAGAGTGTTAATTTAGTGGTTTTTGATGACACTCAGCAAGTTTCGAATTGGAACAATGAGCCTATTTTCAATAATTAAAAGCTTAATTAACAAACTATACTTAGGTAGCCGACGGACCGTTACGATTAGCCGCCTCGAATGGGCACGGCAGCTCGAGCCGTAGCATGTCGGCTAAACTTACTGCTATCGTGCAGCTTCTACTGATTGGCAACGGACGCGCTTCCATTCCTGATGCGTCATCTACACAACATGGATTCGGCGCAGTACACCACTTTCGTCACATGAACTACACCCTCTTCGGCTTCATAGCATCGACGCCAGGGCCCCCCATCGCCTACAAAAAAATCTGCTCATCACGACTTCACGAGTGGGCAGGGCAGCTCGAGACGTGGCATGTTGGCTAAACTTCTTCCTGTTATCGTGCAGGTTAGTAAGAAGTACTATCTCATAGATGTATTTAAGAGAAATAATGTTGTTTATTTAGTGCTGCCGTGACCCGTCACAATTATGTGTATACTTGCCGAGTGTCTTCATTATTTTCGCACGATGCTGCTAGAGCTGTCCGGGGATGTGGAACTTAAGCCGGGACCCATGTCAGAGGCTCAAGTGAAACAGTTTCATGAGATGTTTACTTTGCTACAAGACCTAGCCACGCGTTCGGTTAAAATTGAAAATGGCCAGTCTAACCTTATTCAAACAGTTAATGTGATCAAGTTGAACCCAAGCTTCGATTATAAATAAAATCGCAGCTTTTGTCAAAAGACTTGAAGTGGTTGAATCAGACACATCTGCCCTCGAGTAAACTCAGAAAGAATTGGTTGAAACACGAAAAATGGTTTCCTCTGTACAACAAGAGAACACCTCCCAGCGGGACCGTTTGGACGACTTTGAGGATAGATCACGGCGTGAATATCTGCTGTTTTATGGTGTGGACGATTCAAGATCAGAGACACGGTCGGAACCGGAAATTAAAATAATTGACATACTTCAACGAATGGTTAACATTGAAATCGCCCCAGGAGACTTTGAGCGAGCGCATAGACTCGGCTTTTTCACGGTTGGAAGATGTAGACCTGTCATTACCAAAATTTCTTCGTATAAATTGAGAGAAAAACGAAAATCTGCAGGGACACCGGTTAGTGAGGACTTCTGCCCCGCGACGCGCCAGGCTATAAAAAAAAAAAAATGACGCGGAATTTAGTATCTTTTTAAACACAACCTTCCGGCTGAGGTATAACAAACGTTTCGTCAACGGAAAGTGCTACATTTATGATCCCTTGGCCCACAATATTCAA